TTATACAATTATAGTACACATTTCCGAAACCACTTCCATATAACCAGGCTACAAATGAACAGCGACCCTAATACCAAATTTTAGATTTCAAGCACTATTTGTTCACCCAATGCCATATTGTACCAAATATGGTACTATTTAGTACTTTTCCCGCAGTTGTAGTACACATTTGAAAAATCAGCCCTTTTATCAAAAATCTACCACTAACAGAGCCCCAATATAAAATTTTAAAAATGTCAGTTTTATTCGTCCATCCAAAACGAAAACTTAGTACTATTTAGTACAGATCTTACACTTGGTACTCATTTCCAAAAACAACACCTTCATATATCAAACTTACTTTCACTCCTTGATTCTCATACCAAATTTCAAACTTTTAGCTTAGTACATTTTAGAAGCTTAGTACAATTCCAGGACATTTCGTAACCTTAAAGTTCGAATTTCCAAAAACCCTCTCGTACATCTATCTTGAACTCCATCAGTGACTCTGATTCCAAATTTCAATTTCAATTCCAATCCAGCTCATTCCGTTCGGCCAATACAATGTATTAAATTTTTAGTACATTTTAGTACTTTTCGTGCCCTTTTAGTACGGATTTCCAAAAACCCAGGCACTTCCGTTTATTCTTTTTTATACCCTCCACCATAGCATGGAGGGTATATTGAATTTGTCATTCCGTTTGTAACACCTCGAAATATACATTTTAGACCCTACAAAGAGTATATATTCTTGAGAAGCATAAAATTCTATGTCGATTTAGCTATGTCCGTCCGTCTGTTCGTCTATCCGTCTGTGGAAATCACTCTAGCTTCCGAACGAATTGAAGTAGATTGATAAAATTTTACTCAAATATATATTATGTCTGCAGGACTTTTGGCATTGAAAATGGGCCATGTAGGTCCACGTTTTGGTATAGCCCCCCATACAACGGTACCTCCCGATATTCGGTATTTTGATGATTTTTGCGACATTATTCAACGGAATTCTTTCAAATTTTGTATTTGATGTTCGTAGTGGATACTACAGCCTATGATAGAAAATTATCTTTACAGGTCCACGTCTTCGTATAGCCCCCATACAACGGTACCTCCCGATATTCGGTATTTTGATGATTTTTGCGACATTATTCAACGGAATTCTTTCAAATTTGGTATTTGATGTTCGTAATGGATACTACAGCCTATGGCAGAAAATTGTCTGTACAGGTCCACGTCTTCGTATAGCCCCCATACAACGGTACCTCCCGATATTCGGTATTTTGATGATTTTTGCGACAATATACATCGGAATTGTTTCAAATTTGGTATTTGAAGTTCGCAATGTATGCTAAAGCCTAAGACAGAAAATTGTCTGTACAGGTCCATGTCTTCGTATAGCCCCCATACAACGGTACCTCCCGATATTCGGTATTTTGATGATTTTTGCGACATTATTCAACGGAATTCTTTCAAATTTGGTATTTGATGTTCGTAATGGATACTACAGCCTATGGCCCCCATATAACAGCCCCCATATAACAGTACCCCCCGATATTCGGTATTTTGATCATTTTAGCGATATTTTTCACCGGAATTGTTTCAAATTTGGTATTCGAAGTTCGTAATGGATACTGCAGCCTATGACAGAAAATTGTCTGCGCAGGTTCATGTCTTCTTACTTGTTTAACTTTACTTTCATAATCTTCTGGGGTTTTCCTGTACCTAAAGAAGAAAATATTGAAATTTGTCTCATTATGCTAGAGGCCCCATCGATAATGGCCTATTATACTCCAAAATTTTAATAACAAACAAAAATTAATTTTTTGTCTAATCAGGTAATATATTGCAGTAGATTAATAATACGATTTTCTTCTCAGGTTCTACACTTTGTGTACGAGTATATATATGACAAATATCAAACAAATCTTGACGTCAATGGCGAATCTATGGGAGCCTCATATATTAACTAACTTTAAAAAACATTCTTTAATTTTTGTATTTTTTTAATCGAACACATCGATGACGTTAGTACTTCAGTTCAGTAGGGAAAATATTGTTTTCCTATTGGACTGACTCCCCAAAAAATCGAACCAGTTTTAGGCGGTTTAGTTTAAAATTAATTAAAGTAAAATAATAATAATATATAGGAGTAGCAATATGTGAACTATTTCTATCGAAAAAAGACAAAATGTAGAACATTTGGACAACAGATATGACGTATTATCTGCAACACTCCATCGCGTCAAAGCAAGGAGTGTGTGAGATAAGTTCGTCATTATCACGAGTTTTTGGGCACGTAGGGAACATCTGTTTTGAGCCAAAGTCTTATTGGCAATAATTATTCTTTAGATATTTTTTATTTTTCGGGGGAGAGGGAAATAAATGAAAGACTGAGAGAGGGTGATCTTTTCTCTTTCCATAATTTTCTATTTTAAAAGGACCATAGATATTTTACTGAAGTTTTTCTGTCAATAGGATTCCTGTAGTAGGTCTTCTTTTTGATTCAGAATTAAAGTTTTCCATTTTTTTGACAGAATAATAGGAAATGTTTATCTTTTACACCAAAATATCTTCAAAATTTTTAATTTTGAAGTTTGCGGAGAGGGATATTTGTAAAACCATTGCACAATGGGTCCACATCTAATTTTTTCTGTTTAAAACTATTTCAACGTCTCCATATGTAAACCCGTAGAAACCAACAGTGGCCTCAATATCAAATTTCAGAATTTTATCTCTATCCCTTCACCCAAAACCAATTTTACTAACATTTATTACGCATATCCAAAACAATCTACAACACTAGCAGTAAGTCAAAATTAGTACCATTTACTACTTTTTGAACAATTATAGTACGCATTTGCAAAACCGCTATCAGATTTCAACACCAGAAACCAACAGAGATCTGAGTATCAAAGTTCGCGATTCCAGCTCTATACATTTACTAAGTACTAAATTTAGTAACATTTAGTACTTTTTGTACAATTATAGAACATATTTCCAAAACCACCTCCATATATTCACTACAGACACCAACAGTGATATCTATATCAACTTTCAGGATAGTAGTACACATTTCAAAAACCACGTTCATATCTCTATTCCAGATACCAACGTAGACCTCAATATCAAATTTAAGGACTCCAGCCCTATACCTTCACTCAATACCGAATTTGGAACAATTATAATTCTTATAAAATGTGATGTAAAAGTTGGATTGTCTTCAACTTACACACAGGGTGAAGATGGAATATATTGGTCCACTCCTTCTGGTACCTCCCCCACAAGGGGTTAACATTTTGAACAACCAAAACGATCATAAAATCCGAAAGAAGCATCCGGTTCTCTTCTAATTGCAGACATCACAACATTTTTATTAGCTCTAGGTCTGGTGTGAAGAATGGATATATCGGTCCACTCCTTCTGGTACCTCCCCACAAAGGAGCAAAATTTGGAATATCCCTGAAGCTCAAAAAAATAAGATGCGATTCCATTCAGACTTGATACATCTCAATATTGCCATCAGCACAAGATCTGTTATAAAAATGGTAGAGATCGGACAATTCCTTCTGGTACCTACCTCACAAAATGTGACGCAAGAGTCCGATTGCACACATTACAATATTGGCACATCTGAATATTGCTAACAACATAAGATGTGTTATAAAGATTGTGGAGATCGGACCATTCCCCCTGGTTCCTCCCCCACTAAGGGTCAAAGTTTTGAAAAACCAAAACGATTTCAAAATCCGAACTAAGCATCCGAATCTCTTTATATTTCACCCATCCCATTATTTCTACTAACACAAGATCTGCTGTGAAGATGGGATATACCGGTCCACTCCTTCTGGTACTTCCCCCACAAAAGATCAACATTTGGAATAATTTTAACTCTTACAAAATGTGATGTAAGGTCCGATTGTCTTCAAATTGCACACATCACAATATTTTTAATAATCCAAAGTGGTGGTGAGAAGATGGAACATATCGGTCGACTCCTTCTGGATGAAAATTTTGAACATTCATGAAGCTCATAAAACACGAAATTAACATTCGATTCCATTCAAACTTGTCATATCTCAACACTAGATCTGTTGTAAAGACGTTGGATATGTAACCACTCCTTCTGGTTCCTACCCCACAAAGGTTCTAAGTTTGGAATAACCAAAACGATGTTAAAATCCGAAATAAGCATCTGGTTCTCTTCATATTTCACACATCCAATTAGTTCTACTAATACAAGTTCTGCTGTGAAGATGGAATATATTGACCCACTCCTCCTGGGGTGAAAGGGTCAAAATTTTGAATATCCATGAAGCTCATAAAGTGCGAAATTAACATCCGATTCCATTTTTTGGTATATCTCAATATTTTCATCAGCACAAGATCTTTTATAAAGATGATGGAGATCGGACCATTTCTTCTGATACCTCCCCCAAAATAGGGTTCAAGTATTTGGAAAACAAATGTATGATTTCGCATAAAATTCGAATTTTTCGCAATTTTGCCCATACCAATATTTTTATCTGTATGAGATGAAGTATGAAAATGGAATAGTTCTGTCGACTATATCTGGTACCTCACGCACATGTTAACATTTTCTGGAAATTATCACATATCTCATACAAAGTGAAGGAAGTAGTCGAATAGTCGAGTCCAAATCTGGCACAACGCAATATTTACATCATATTTATTTAGAACCGATACGAAACGGACAATATTGACCCATTGCTTCGAAACCTACTCCATAGAGGGCCAAACATAATAACAGAAGTCAAAATATATTTACATCATTGCATATATAGATTTAGCGCCTAATAGTATGCTACAAAAATGTTTAAGATAATCAGGGAAAATAGCTGTAAGACACAACTACATATCAAGTTTCACATTCAACCAATAAGAGTACAAAAGTACAATTTAGTACCTTTTTAGAAGAGCTTTCCAAAATCTCAGCCGTATTTGAATCCTTGATTTATTTGTGAAATTTTGAGATTATTATTTTTTTCTTGTTACCATTTCAGGTCGTGGCAATTGGGCCGATGATATTGGATTTGATTTAAATGCCGAATTTAATAGCAATTCATATTTGAACAAGTAAGTCATCAAATTGCATTTTAATTTCGATTCGAAAAAAATTTAATATCAAAAACGAATAAAAAAAAAACGAAAATTAAGTTTTCATTTTCAATAATATTATTTCCCAATTTCCCTCTCTCTCTCTCTCTCTCTCTCTCTCTCTCTCACTTCCTCCTTCGCAGTGAGACTTTTATGTCATTCTCGTCGGGTCTGGCACCCGTTCTCAAGCAGGAACCCCAGACGGAACAATTGAAGATTAACAATTCGAAGAGTTCGTTGCACATTCCAGCTCCGATTAACACTGTAAATATACAGAAGCTTGATAAGCAGTCTCCAACGTCAAACAACAACAATGGATTCCTTGACACAACGGCCGCTGTAAGCCCAGCAAATGCTGCTGCTGGCGGCGTTGCAGTCACTGCTACGCCAGAAAAATCCAAGATTAATGGCAATATCGATTTGATTGATAAGCATTGTGGATGTGGTTCACCCCAAGGAGGTGGCGGAAACAGTCATCATCACCAACATCATCAACAACAGCAACAGCAGCAGTCTCAATCCCAAGTTGGGGACCAGCAGCAGCAGACATCTGCATCGGCCTCGGCGATCAAGGGTAACAATGAACAAGGTGAGTGCACTTGTTTGAATGAAAAAATAACTCACACTCACACACACAAAGCAACAAGAATAATCAGAACAACAAAAAACAACAATAAATGATAATTCTTTGATGAATGATTTATCAAATTTCGTTAATATTTTAAGAACAATAACAACAAAGAGAGGTGCAGGCACGTGTTGTTAAGTGTTTGGGGGTCGCATTTTGTCATTCTTTCAATAAATCTGGGGAAAATGATGTTTGTTTCAAGATTAGATGCTTCCCTGAAATGAAATTTTAAAGGGGGTGCCATTTTTGTTGTGAAGCGTTTCGAATAAGCACAATTTTTCCAAAAGCTGTACATTTTTTTAAATTAAAACTAAGATTTCCTGACCAGAAAAAATTGTGACATAGGGAATCTCAAAAGGGGTTTTATAGATCCTTTATGGAGAGGAAAGACTGTAGGAGAAATACTATTATACAGAGAGCATTTAATAAGATCTTCTTACAGAAGAAGAAAAAAAAAAAAAAACAAGAGAAGCAGAAAAAAATACCTTCCATTGTTGAGAAGTCTATCAAAAGGATTTATGGGGAGAGCGCAAGAGCTTTTAAAGCATTTTTGTGGAGAAAGGACTCTCGATAAAATTTCAATGGGGGAGAAGATCAACAAAAGCATCTTTGTAGAGAAAACTTTTTCTAAGTGAAGAGGAAACATTCGAAAGGTTTACTATGAAGAACCTTTCAAAGTCCTCTGAGGGGGAACAGACATTCGACATTCTTTTTTGGAGACAATATCGTCAAATGACTTCTATGGAGAGATATATGTCGTCTCTTTCATAGAGAAGGGGTCTTTGAAAAATCCTTCATGTACCACATACAGATACGACATTGAAAAGTCTTTTATGTATAGAGGGAGAGAGGCCCAAGAGAAAATTTTATGAGGGGAATATCTGCTACAGTTCTTTAACAACGAGACAGTATCTAGAGAGAACCTTCACATAGCTTCTCTGAAGACAATGCATTTAAAGACTAACATGGTCTGAATACCAAAGGGATATATTTTCCAGACAAATACTTGCTTTGGGTCTTCTTCATGTAAGGCTTTTTATTGGTCTTCTATAAATTGAGAAATTATTCAATTGTTTTGTATGAATGGTCCTCTCTAAATATAAGAGCTTTTAATGCTGGTCTAGTAGTAGCACATTTGCTTGTTATCTACTGGAATATAGTCCTTTCTGTAGGTCTCCTATATTTTTTGTAGGAATAAAAAGGAATTCTATAGATATACTGTAAGTCATCTATTTTCTGACCTTCCTTAAATGAAAAGAGAACCAATTTTCTGATCTTCTAGTAAAAAGATACCGGATGTTGACCTCTTCATGATATGCTATCTTTGGTTGTTTCTTTATAAATTTACTCTATACTAAAAGTCTTCTATGTATACAAGTCCCTCAAGATATGGGTTTATATAAAAAATACATTCCACTCACAAGTATGGCGCTCATTTGAATTCGAATAAAGATTAAAACTCGTTCGAAAGTCCGCTATGGTTAGACATTTACATATTTACATAATTTGTTTTAAAGTTTTTCGCTTATTGCCTTCGCCTTTATTCCCATTTCAGGTCGTCAACTTTTGACTGTCGTTGATACCAGCAAAATCGAACAATCTCCCTTGGGACGTTCGTCGGGCAACTCTGGCGCTCCAGCAGGGGCAACAACAGCTGCTGCCAATTCTGATGATTATAAGTAAGTTTGAGAAAACAAAAACAATAATTATAATAATAATAATAATAATAATAATAATAATAATAATAATAATAATAATAATAATAATAATAATATAATAATAATAATAATAATAATAATAATAATAATAATAATAATAATAATAATAATAATAATAATAATAATAATAATAATAATAATAATATAATAATAATAATAATAATAATAATAATAATAATAATAATAATAATAATAATAATAATAATAATAATAATAATAATAATAATAATAATAATAATAATATAATAATAATAATAATAATAATAATAATATAATAATAATAATAATAATAATAATAATAATAATAATAATAATAATAATAATAATAATAATAATATAATAATAATAATAATAATAATAATAATAATAATAATAATAATAATAATAATAATAATAATAATAATAATAATAATATAATAATAATAATAATAATAATAATAATAATAATAATAATAATAATAATAATAATAATAATAATAATAATAATAATAATAATAATAATAATAATAATAATAATAATAATAATAATAATAATAAGAATAATAATAATAATAAAAATAACAAAACAACAACAAAAATATTTAAAATATTTGGATGTGTAAAATTTGAAGATAGTTGGATACTATTTCGCTTTCTTTGACCGTTTTGTTATTCAAAATCTTTAGCGCTATGTGGGGGGAGGTACCAGAAGAAATAGTCCAGTCTCTGTCATACTTATAACTGATCTTGTGTTGATGGAAATATTGAGATATACCAAGTCTGAATGCAATCGGATGTTGATTCCCGTTTTATGAGCTTCATGGATATTCCACATTTTGGCCCTTTGTGGGGGAGGTACCAGAAGCAGAGGACCGATATATCCCATCTTCACAACAGATCTTGTGTTAGCAGAAAAAATGCGATGTGTAAAATATAAAGATAACCTGATGCTTATTTTGGATTTTATGATCGTTTTGGTTATTCAAAACTTCAACCCTTTGTGGGGGAGGTAGCAGGAGAAATGGTCCGATCTCTACCGGTTTTTAAACAGATCCTGTGTTGATAGAAATTTTCAGATGTGCCAAGTCTAAATGGAATCGGAATGTTAATTTTGCGTTTTATAAGCTTATAGATTATTCAAAATTTCGACCTTTTGTGGGGGAGGTACCAGAAGGAGTGGACGGATATGTTCCACCTTAGCACCAGATTTTGGGGTTATAAAAATATTCGGATGTGTGGAATTTGAAGACAATCGAACTCTTAAATCACATTTTATAAGAGTTATAATTATTCAAAATTTTGTCCCTTGTGGGGGAGGTACTTAATGGAGTGAACCGATATTGTCAATTTTCTCACATGACCTAGAACTGATGCAAATATTATGATTTGCAAAGTTGGAGCAAAATCTGATTATCTTTTCTCTTTTTGTACAGAAAATATATTTTTTGAATATTTCGACCTTTTGTTGGGGAGGTACCAGAAATGGTGGACCGATATTGCCCATCTCCAAATTCGATCTAAGTTTGACAAAAATATTACGATTTACCAAGGTTGAACCAAATCGGATACTCCTATCGAGAGTTATCGTGCGTACCAGCCTTCCAGACAGACGGACGGAAGGACACCGCTAGATCGACTCCAAATGTCCTGAAACGGATTTGATCAAAAGAGACTTAGGATCTAAAACCGTTATTTCAATGAGGTACGTTTTGGCCTATATATACCCTATATATACCCTCTCTAGCCATATGGCTGTGGGTATAAAAACCGAATTCCTATTAAATTTGAATGTCCCTTGAAAGACTTGGTAAGAAATCGAAAATTAAATAAGTAAAAAAAGAAATAAGTTCTGCCGGGCCGAACTTTTTATATCCTCCACTACTCGGAAGGAAATTGAAATTTAAAAAAAAATCCATCGAAAAATACCGCTGAAAATGAAAACTTATATATGGTGGCTATACGAAAACGTCGTGCTGGACAAGTAATTTTTTGACATAGGCTGCAGTAACGAATCCGAACTTCAAATACGAAATTCGAAATAATTCTGGTAAATACTGTCGCTAATTTCATCAAAATACCGAATAAAAGGAGGTACCGTTGTATGGGGGCTAAGACGTGGACCTACATAGACAATTTTCCGTCGTAGGTTGTAGTACCCATTACGAACTTCAAACACGAAATTGGACACAATTCTGGTGAATAATTTCTCGAAAATCCTGGAAATTCCGAATATCTTGGGGTAGCGTTATATGAGTGCTATACTAAAATCTTCCAGGGGGTAAAGCACTCGGCGTGAACTCCTTGTGTGGATTTTCAGACACTTTCATTGAAAAATGTGACAAAAATCATTAAAATATCGGATGTCTGGAGGTACTATTATATGGGTGACATACGATATGGTGGACCAATATAGCCCATCTTCGAACTTGACCTGCCTGCAAACAAAAGACAGATCAGTGCAAAATTTTAGCTTCCTATCTTTATTCGTATTGACTCTAGCGTCTACAACAGATGGACAACAGGGCTAAATCATCTTAGAATTTTATGATGACCAAGAATATATTTTCTTAGTTGGGTCTAAAATTATTATTTCGATGAGTTACAATCGGAATGACGAACTTAATATACCCTCCATACTATGTATGGTGGAGGGTATAAAAATGTCAATTTACTTCACCCCGTAAACAGTTGTAAAGACAAATAGTCCGATTTAAGTGAATTTAAACTTTTTGAAATAGTCGGAAAGTGTTACAGTTGAAGTTGAGGCTTAATCGGAGCCGGAAAGAATATATTGTTTTAATTCTGACTACGTTTAAAGCTATATACTTCGATCTCGAACCCATTATAAATAAAAAATTATTTTTTTTATTTATACTTTTTATATTTTTTATCTTCTTTCAGATTCCAATACATTTTGGCTGCTGCCACTTCGATTGCAACCAAAAACAATGAGGACACACTCACCTATTTGAATCAGGGGCAAAGTTATGAGATCAAATTGAAGAAGATCGGTGATCTATCTATGTATCGGGATAAAATTCTCAAGGTATGTAAAAAGCACAATAACAACCAATTTTCGCTAAAAATATGTAACGAAATATGTTGGGCTGGTAACAGCACCATGTGGCTGGCTGGTTGGCTAGCTGGTGTGGTCTAATATTCGTCATCGTCATGTGTGATATGTGTTGTAGTTGTTGTTTGAATATTTTAGTTAAACGCTAATAAATAAACTATAACTTTGGGTTTGAGATAGACGTGGTGTTGTTGTTTGATTTTTTATTTATTTATTATTTTTTTTAACCGAGTATCTGTCTGTTCGTCCGTCCACCTATCTATCAGCCTGTCTTGAGCTGTTGTTTTTTTTTTGTTTTGTTTACTTCGAACATTTCGCCAATTGTCTTAATTGCTTTTAATATATTTTAATTAGAAACAATTGCCAGTCTTGACACAAACAAACAAAACAAACAGACAAACACGCAACAATAATGCCAAACATAAAAATTATTCGAGACAATATTTGAGACAAGAACGACGTCAAACCTAGAGGCGAGCTAAACACAAGTAAGCAAAAGAAAAGAATATTTGATACAAAGAAAAAAATTGCAATAGAAAATAAATACACGTAAAGAAACACCGTTTTGAAATATTGCATAATTTCTCTTTTTAAAAAAAGTGACAAATTAGAGCATTTTTGTGACAGTTGATAGACTAATTTGGTTTGCAGAAACAGAAGGATTTTTAAGATTTTTTTATTATTTTGTTAGTAGACCTTTATGATACCGTGCAAAAAAAAAAATAATTACAGGGAAAATCCAGCAGATTATGAAAGTATAGCTAAAAAAAGAAAAAGGCGTTTTGAAAGATTACACCGCAAAGTAACCTAAGACTTTTAACTTTTTTCAAATTAAGATTCCTCGGAATCCGTGCATATTACGTATCTAGTGCCTTTGGCAATTTAGCAGATAAAAATACAAGGAATATTTCGGTTGAACATTTTAACCCTCAAGCGAGTCAACAAAGGGGTCTTTTTGGTCCTGTTGTTGAAATATCGTAAAAAACTCCCTTTAAAGGGGATCGAAGAAAGTCAAAATATTCTACAAAATTATTTCTCATAAAATTCTACTATAGGTCCTAGGAGATGTCAAAGCTCTAAATCTAACCTAGATGCCAGAAAGTCATATATATTAAAAACTCATTTTTGGGATAAAGTCGTAGTTTGTGTGAGTTTATGCAAAAATCTCCAACAGAACATCATTTTAGAAGGTTGCCGCCAAAGACAAATATATTCCTCATAAAATTTCACTATAAGTCTCCGGAGAAAAGAAATCTCTGTTTCCATTGTAAACCAAAATATTTTTGCATTAATGTTCCGAAAAAAAATCGTGAAAATATTTCTTAATTTTTTTGATCAATTTTCCTCGGCCTTTCTTTGAGTTGACGACTGAAAGTTAGATAAAATTTCATTTTAGGCGGAAGGTATCAAGAGAAGAAATATTCTACACCAAATTCTGCAATAAATCTCAGAATAAACCATATATCTAGGTGTAATAGTTTTTAAGATAATTACATACGAATTTTATATATTACAAGTAAAAATTAGGCGTTTACATTTTCGACTGTTAATTGTATACATTTGTATTCGGAGTCAAAATCTCCTATTATACATAACAAATCATCTTATGAGAATGACCCCAAAGACATAAATATTCCCCGTGAAGTTTTACTCTAAGTTCCGAAAGAAAAGAAATATCTATTTTCATTAGATATCAAGAAAAAGTTTGCATCAATGTTGTTACAAAAAATACCGAAAATATTTCTGAACAAATTTTTTGTTGAATAAATTTTCTACGCACTTTTTTCGAGTTGATGGCTGAAAGTAACATAAAATTTCGTTTTAGGCGGAAGTTGTTAAAAGGAGAAATATTCTACACAAAATTTTACTATAAACCTCGGAATAAATCATATATCTAGGTGTAATAGTTTTTAAGAAAATTACATACGAAATTTATGAATTACAAGTAAAAATTAGGTGTTTACATTTTCAACAGTTAATTATATACATACATAGACAAAATCTCCCATTATACATTAAAAACATCATTTTAGGAGGATGACGTCAAAGACAAAAATATTCTTCATCAAATTTCACTATATGTTACCAAGAAAATAATTAAATATTTTCATTATATATCAAGAAAAAGTATGCATCAATGTTGTCCTAAAAAAACGCGAAAATATTTTCTTTTTTGTGAACAATTTTTACTTTTACATTTTTGAGTTGAGGCCTGAAAGTAACATAAAATTGCGTTTTGGGTAGAAGTTGTTAAAAGGAGAAATATTCTACACAAAATTTTATTATAAATTTCATAATAAACCATGTATCTAGGAACAATAGTTTTTAAGAAAATTACGTACGAAATTTATCTGCTACAAGTGAAAATTAGGTGATTACATTTTCGACTGTTAATTTTATACATTTGTATTCGGAGACAAAATCTTTCATTATACATTAAAAACATCATTTTAGGAGGATGACGTCAAAGACAAAAATATTCTTCACCAAAGAAAATAAATCTCTATTTTCATTAGATATCAAGAAAAAGTTTGCATCAATGTTGTCACAAAAAATCGCCAAAATATTTTCTATTTTTTTTGAACAAATTTTTTCTTTGACTTTTTTCGAGCTGACGCCCGAAAGTAACATAAAATTTCGTTTTAGGCGTAAGGTGTCAAAAGAAGAAATATTCTACACCAAATTCTACTATAAACCTCAGAATAAACTATATATCTATTTACAATAGATTTTGAAAAAATTACATTCGGAATTTATATATAACAAGTAAAAATTCTGTGTTAATAGTATACGTTTGTGTTCGGAGACAAAATCTCCCATTATACATCAAAAACATCATTTTAGGAGGATGACGTCAAAGACAAAAATATTCTTCATCAAATTTTACTATAAGTCACCAAAGAAAAGATATCTCTATTTTCATTATATATCAAGAAAAAGTTTGCATCAATGTTGTCCTAAAAAACCGAGAAAATATTTTCTATTTTTTTTTTTGAACAATTTTTTCTTAGACTTTTTTTGAGTTTAGGCCTGAAAGTAACATGAAATTTCGTTTTAGGCGGAAGTTGTTAAAGGGAGAAATATTCTACACCAAATTCTACTATAACTCTCAGAATAAACCATATATCTATTTACAATAGATTTTGAAAAAATTACATTCGGAATTTATATATAACAAGTAAAAAATCTATGTTAATAGTATACGTTTGTGTTCGGAGACAAAATCTCCCATTATACATCAAAAACATCATTTTAGGAGGATGACGTCAAAGACAAAAATATTCTTCATCAAATTTTACTATAAGTCACCAAAGAAAAGATATCTCTATTTTCATTATATATCAAGAAAAAGTTTGCATCAATGTTGTCCTAAAAAACCGAGAAAATATTTTCTATTTTTTTTTTTGAACAATTTTTTCTTAGACTTTTTTTGAGTTTAGGCCTGAAAGTAACATGAAATTTCGTTTTAGGCGGAAGTTGTTAAAACGAGAAATATTCTACACCAAATTTTACTATAACTCTCAGAATAAATCATATATCTAGGTATAAGAGTTTTTTTTAGAAAATTAGGTACGAAATTTATCTACTACAAGTGAAAATTAGGCGTTTACATTTTCGGCTATTAATTTTATACATTGGTATTCGGAGACAAAATCTCCCATTATATATTAAAAACATAATTTTGGAAGGATGACGTCAAAGACAAACATATTCTTAATCAAATTTCATTATAAGTTCCGAAAGAAAAGAAATCTCTATTTTCATTAGATGTCAAGAAAAAGTTTGCATCAATGTTGTCACAAAAAATCGCGAAAATATTTCTCAATTTTGTTGAACAATTTTTCCTTTGATTTTTTTCGAGTTAAGGCCTTAAAGTAACATAAAATTTCGTTTTAGGCGGAAGTTGTTAAAAGAAGAAATATTCTACATCAAATTCTACTATAACTCTCAGAATAAACTATATATCTATTTACAATAGATTTTGAAAAAATTACATTCGGAATTTATATATAACAAGTAAAAAATCTATGTTAATAGTATACGTTTGTGTTCGGAGACAAAATCTCCCATTATACATCAAAAACATCATTTTAGGAGGATGACGTCAAAGACAAAAATATTCTTCATCTAATTATACTATAAGTCACCAAAGAAAAGATATCTCTATTTTCATTATATATCAAGAAAAAGTTTGCATCAATGTTGCCCTAAAAAAAACGCGAAAATATTTTCTATTTTTTTGGACAATTTTTCCTTAGACTTTTTTTGTGTTTAGGCCTGAAAGTAACATAAAATTTCGTCTTAGGCGGAAGTTGTTAAAGGGAGAAATATTCTACACCAAATTCTACTATAACTCTCAGAATAAACCATATATCTAGGTACAATAGTTTTTAAGAAAATTACATACAAAATTCATGTACTACAAATGGAAATTATGTGTTTGCTTTATATAGTGTTAATTTAACACGTATCCAATCTGAGTCAAACTTTCCCTCTATACTTCATTTTTTGGCGAAAGTGTCAAAGGAAGAATTATTCTATATCAAATTTCATTGTGAGTCTCTGAACAAAAGAAATTTGAATATTGAATATTTACCATGAAAAATACAAAGGGACTCCTACTGTTTGAGATATATTTCGCAACATTTACTATAGACCTTTAAAATGTGATAGAGACCTTTACCCAGACTCAGACTGCTGTCATTTCTAAGCAACTTGATCGAAACCCGCGTCGCAGTGGTCAAAAATTGGCTCGTGAGCTGAAAATATCGCAATATTTCATTCGGCAAATATTGAAAAAATAGCTCCGGGTAAGGACATTGAAATTCCACAAAAGTTCTAGAACTTACACCGCGGCAGAAAGAAAATAGTCTCAAAATAGCCAAAGAGTTGCATCGCTTAGCCGAAAGTGGTGAACTGCCAAATTTAGTTTTCTCCGATGAGAAAACATTCGTTGTCCAGCAGTTTGTAAAGAAACAAAGTAATCGTGTTTACTTGCCAAAGAGGTCAGCTGAAAATGTGCACCTTCGGTTGGCCACCAGAACTCAAGCGCCGGCCATGGTGATGGTGTGGACCGCCGTAACAGGCGATGGTCGCTCTCCTCTCGTTTAATCGACCGTGATATCAGTGCCGAATATTATTGCGAAAATGTTCTGGAGGGTGTATTAAAGCCTTGGGTACGCAAACATTTTGGCCGCAGAACTTGGACATTCCAATAGGACTCAGCATCATCGCACTCAGCACGCATTACCCAAGAATGGTTACAAAATGAGGTTCCTCACTTCATTTCCAGCGCTCAATGACCACCAAAATCTCCGGATACCATTCCTTTGGACTATTGTTTCTGGAGTATTTTAGAAAGCAAGGTTGACACTAAAAAATACCAAAGTGTCGATCACCTAAAGCAAGCGCTTCGCCGGGAATCGGCCCAAATGCCGCAGAGCAACATTCGGGCAACGTGTGACGGTTTCATTGGCCGTTTGAAGGCCATAATTCGTGCGAAAGTTGACCAATTCGAATAAATCTAAACTTATTTTAAAATTTGATGCTATTTCCGACATTTTTTGCTTTCATTCAATAAAATTAAAAAAAAATGTAAAAATTATGGCGTTTTGATATTGTTGCAGTTTTTTTAATCTCACCCTGTATTGCGCAACACATTCTATAGAGCTTTAAAATGTGATAGAAACTTTTGAACTGCATCCAGAATTATTGGTATAGAAAATGGGTCCTACATTACCTACACAGGTGACAAGTTTTTAGCACAAATTTTGGAGAGTATCCTCTCTTAAAAAAATTCAGACATTTCAAATATTTTCCAAGTGTCAAAAAAAAAAAAAAAAAAAGAAAATTAGCCTCTAAGAATTTTCACATGATCACATATGGCAGGGATGATGACGACGATGATGATTCTGACGATGATGGTGACGGTGAACGAACCATGCCACATGACAGCAGCCTCAATACAGCTGTCAAACAAGCAGAACAAACAACCATCCACTCAGCCGTTCATTGAAGTCAACATTTTGATTAAAAGAGGTCATTTTCATGTAGATTTCAATTATTTTTTTTTTTAAAGAACAAGACATTAAGTGGCAAAAAAGTAAGTAAGTTTGTCACCAACACATGTAAACATTCATACCCACACATACATAGATTTATAAAATACATAACCTGATAAAAATTTATGAACAGCTCCACTTATGATTTACGCCAGCTATCTTTCTTTATTGCTTCGTTTTTACTCTGACGTTCTTTCCTCATTCTCATTCTTCTTCTCCTTGTTTTTTTTGTTGCAGAGCGTTATCAAAATATGCTTCCATGAGCGTCGTCTCCAGTACATGGAACGCGAACAAATGCAACAATGGCAGGCCTCGCGTCCCGGCGAACGTATCATCGAAGTTGATTTGCCACTCTCCTATGGCCTGTGCCATGTCTCCCAGCCATTGAATCCGAACTATTTGAATACGGTGGAGATCTTCTGGGATCCCATGAAAGAGGTCGGCGTTTACATAAAGGTCAACTGTATCTCGACCGAGTTTACGCCAAAGAAACACGGTGGCGAAAAAGGCGTACCATTTCGTTTGCAAATCGAAACGTATATAGAAAATAATAATAATAACAACAACAACATCACTAACAATACAACAACTGCAGCAGCAAACACACCAATTGCTGTAACAACATTCCATAATAGCGGCAACAACAACAACAGCATTCCTGCTTCAGGCACAAAAACACCACCCATTGGCGGGGTTGCACCACCATCACCATTGGGCGCCGCTGTAGCAGCAGCTGCAGCCGCCACCGCCGCCGTTGTTGGGGCCGGCTCGGGAGCCTCGCCTCACAGCCAAACTGGAAATTTGACACCGAATGGTCTATTGGCAAGTGGTTTGAAACCACCGATGCCAATCCATGCCGCAGCTTGTCAAGTAAAGGTGAGTAATGCAAAAAAAGATATAATTTTAATTAAAAAAAAAAAACAAAAAAAAAACAAGTAAAAAAGCTATATGTTCGGACGGGCCGAACTTTGAATACCCTGCACCATTTGGAACGAATTTGGCAATTTTCAAAAAATAAAATCCGTTAAAAATTTTGTTAAAATCTTAAAAATACCGAATGTAGCTGTTATATTGGGGTCTATACGACGACATAAACCTGCATAGGTAACATTTGTCATAAGCATTACAATATTCAAATGCGAAATTAAAAAAAAATCGGTGAATAATGTAGCTAAAATCATCAAAATACCGAATATCGGGGGTACCGTTATATGGGGGCTATACGAAGACGTGGACCTGCACAGACAATATCCTGTCATAGGCTGTAGCGTCCATTACGAACTTCAAATACAAAATTTGAAACAATTCCGGTAAATAGTGTCGCTAAATTCATCAAAATACTAAAATCGGGAGGTACCGTTATATGGGGGCTGTAAGAAGTCGTGAACCTGCACAGACAATTTTCTGCCATAGGCTGTAATATCCATTCCGAACTTCAAATACCAAATTTCCGATAAATAATGTCGCTAAAATTATCAAAATACCGAATATCGGGAGGTACCGTTATATGGGGGCTATAGGATGGCGTGGACCTGCACAGACAATTTTCTGTCATAGGCTGTAGCATCCATTACGAACTTCAAATACCAAAATTGAAATAATTCCGGTGAATAATGTCGCTAAAATGATCAAAATACCGAATATCAGCAGGTACCGTTATATGGGGGCTATACGAAGACGTGGACCTACATGGCTCATTTTCTGTCTTAGGATGTAGTATCCATTACGAATTTCAAATACCAAAATTGAAACAATTCAGGTAAATAATGTCGATAAAATCATCAAAATACCGAATATCGGGGGGTACCGTTACAAGGGGGCTATACGAAGACGTGGACCTACATGGCCCATTTTCTGTTTTATGCTGTAGCATCTATTACGAACTTTAAATATTAATTTTGAATGTAGGTGTCCGATTGTCTTCAAATTACACACATCACACTATTCATATTAATCCATGGTCTGGTGTGGAGATGGAATATATGTTGGCCCACTGCTTCTAATACCTCCCCCACATGGGATCAAAATTTTGAATATTCATATTCAAGTTCATAAAACACGAAATCCGATTCTATTCAGACTTGATACATCTCAATATTTCCATGAACACAAGAACTGTTGTACAGATGGTAGAAATCGTATCATTTGCTCTGGTACCTCCTCCACATAGGTTTCAAGATATTGAAAAACAAAACGTTCAAAGAAAGCGAAATAAGCTTTCAAATCCATCCATCCACCTCCTCAAGTTTCCCACATACAAACATTTTTGCTAACACAAGATCTGTTGTGAAGATGCTATACATCTGCCAACCCGTTTTTGGTACCTCACCCAAAAAGAGTCACCATTTCCAAATTTTTATATCTGTCATAACTTGCGAAACAGGTCGGCGATTATTTACATCTTGCTAATCTAAATATTTCTCTTAACCAGAAAAGCTGATATGAATATGTAATTTATGATTTGGCATAAAATTGGATATAAATGTTCGATTTCCTGCAAATTTTGCAAATACCAATATTTTTATGTGTATGAAATGAGGTATGGCAACGGAGTACTTCAGTGGCCTATATCTGGTACCTCACGCACATGTTAACATTTTCCAAAAATCATCACATATCCCATATAAAGTGAAGGAAGTAACCAAACCTGGCACGTCGCAATATTTATATCATATTTATTTAGGTCCGATGCGAAATGGACAATATTGACCCATTGCTTCGGAACCTGCTCCATAGAGAGTCAGCATTTTGAATAATCATAATAGAAGTCAAAATATATTTAAACAATCGAACATTGGGTGAGGGTATACATCTGTCGGCAATACCGACTAATATTTATACCCTACACCACAAGGTGGTCAGGGTATTATGTCTTTGTGCATTTGTTTGTAACAGGCAAAAGGAAACGAGATAGACCCATAGTTCCTTTTGATGATCTGCATAGAATCACATTCTGAGTCGATTTATGCATGTCCGTCTGTCCAAGTATTTTTGTAAACAAAGTAAAGTTGGCATTTATTGCCTTATCCCGATAAAATCTTGCACAAATCTAATGTTTGGCCCAAGGATGAACCCTATTGAAATTGGGGATAATCAATCAAAATTTAGATTCCTTTCCATATGTATCTTCGTCCGATTTGCATTTTATTGCACACCAAACGTGTAATATCAGCCCGAATAAGTATGCCAAATTTGATTGAAATCGGTTCAGATATAGCTATAGCTCCCATATATATTGTTCATCTGATTTGTTATTTTTGTCCTCCGCAGACGTAATATGCACTCTGTAACAACAATATATGGGGAAATATATCAAATACAGCTCAGAAATACATTTGCTAAATTTTATCGAGATCGGATCAGATTTGGATATAGCTCCCATATATAAGTTCGTCCGATTTACCCTTTATTGTGCACCAAACGTCTAATATTTGTCCAAATAGGGTGTAATTTGGCACTTACGATCGAATTGAGTCTAGAAGCTAGTATGTCAAATTTGGTGAAGATCGGTTCAGATATAACTATAGCTCCCATTTACATTGTTCATCCGATTTGTTATATTTGTTACCCACAGCCGTAATATGCACTCCGTAACAACGATATTCAGGAAAATATATGAAATACAGCTCAGAAATATCTTTACCAAATTTTATCGAGATCGGTTCCGATTTGGATATAGCACCCATATATATCTTTATCCGATTTCAAATTAATTGTGCACCAAATGGGCAATACAATTCCGAATTTAAAAGATACAAATACTTCGGCATATATAGTCCTTTGAAATTTAAAATATAATTATTATTATTATTATTATTATTATTATTATTATTATTATTATTATTATTATTATTATTATTATTATTATAGCGTGTATGTTGAATTCTCCCATTAAAACGTTTAATTGTTATGCGGAGCTCTACTAAATTAGCAAAGTGGTGTAGGGTATCGGCCCCGCCCGACTTTAAGACTTTCTTTACTGGTTTACTCTTAACTTTATTCTAAGTTTTATTTGTTATGCCATGGTTATTTTTAATTTTACTTATTTTAATAATTTTTTTATTATTATTTCGCTTTTTACCATATGTAACTGACAAAACATGTTTCTCTCTCTCTCTCTCTCTCTCTCTCTCTTTATTCCCTTCCGCTTTTCTAGGTTTTCAAATTAAAAGGTGCCGATCGCAAACATAAACAGGATCGTGAAAAAATACAAAAGCGTCCCCAGTCCGAACAGGATAAATTTCAACCCAGTTACGAGTGTACCATTATGACGGACATACCGTTGGATTTGATTACAACACCCGCGACCACCACGGCCGGTTGTTTCAGTCCTGAATAGTAAGTAAAGGTTTTAGATTTACGAGCAATGTAAACACCATTGTTGACGATCGTGATCATGGTTAAATGGCGTAGTGCCTGTCAATTAATTGCGATGAGTCATTAATTAAGAAAATTTTGAAAACAAAAAAACAACACAAGTTTAATATTATGATGAATTCATTAAGAAAAAAATGAATTACTGAATTGAATAACTCTGGGGGAAAGTAGTGGCAAAAAGCCTAGAATGAAATGATTTTACTGCAAACCCTACCCCACACCTCATTTGTGCCGGAGCTATTAGAATATTTGCTAGCAATCTCATGTTAATTAATTACATAAACTTTTGCATGTTGTTAATTTTGCCTTTGTTGTAAGAGTGTGTGTGTGTGTGAGAGAGAGAGAGAGAGCACCGGAAAAAGTCTTAAGGGGGCGTAGATGTAATGAAGTGGAAAAGTAAATGTTTAATTTCATTTGAACACACATGCCTATTTAGGAGGCGTCATAAATGTTCTCTAGTAGTCATTGAACAGTTTTATTATTTCAAAGCAAAAGAAAAAAAAAGTGAAATGCCACTTTTGTTATTCGTAATTAATTTCACATTAAATAACAATTATCACAGTTAACTATTGCGATATTATTCACTCGGCGCGCTAAAGCGGTCTAGGCAAGTTCATTGGACTTGTTATACCGACCACCATACTATGGAGGGTATATTAACTTTGTCATTTTGTTTGTAACTCCTCGAAATACTCATGTTAGACCCAACAACTTTTATATATTCTTGATCAGCTTAAAATTCTAAGTCGATTTAGCCATGTCCGTCTGTCGTAAGTTCGTATATGGGCCATGTAGGTCCGCGTTTTAGCGACATTATTCACCGGAATTGTTTCAACTTGGGTATTTGAAGTTCGAAATGGATACTACAGCCTATGACAGAAAATTATCTGGGCAGGTCCACGTCTTCGTATAGCCCCCACATAACGGTACCTCCCGATATTCGGTATTGTAATGATTTTAGCGACATTTTTCACCGGAATTGTTTAAAATTTGGTATTTGAAGTTCGAAATGAATACTACAGCCTATGACAGAAAATTATCTGGTCAGGTCCACGTCTTCGTATAGCCCCCATATAACGGTACCTCCCGATATTCGGTATTGTGATGATTTTATCGACATTACTCACCGGAATTATTTCAAATTTAGTATTTGAGATTCGTAATGGATACTACAGCCTAAGACAGAAAATTGCCTATGCAGGTCCAGGTCTTCGTATAGGCCCCATATATCAGTACCTCCTTATATTCGGTATTTTCACGATTTTCAATACCCACCGAAATTGTTTGAGATATCGTATTTGACGTTAGTAATGGATGCTATAGCCTGTGACAGAAAATTGTCTATGCTGGTCCAGGTCACACAGCTCCGATATAACGGTATCTCACTATATACGATATTTTCATAATTTTAGCTACATTATTCACCGTTTATTTCAAGTTTCGAATTTGAATATGGTAATGGCTAATGGCAAACAATGCCACGTCGTATAGACCCTTATATAACGGCTATATTCGGTATTTTTAAAATTTTAAAAGAATTTAAGGATTTTATTTTTTGAAAATTTCCAAATTCGTTCCAAATGATGGAGGGTATTCAAAGTTCGGCCCGGCCGAACTTACTGCTTTTTAACTTGTTTTCATCTAAACCAGTAATAGTCCGCCAGAAATTAATTGTAATATATTCGAAAATGTTGTGTAGATATGAAAGTAGTATCTGATCTAAGGGCCTATGGAATGATTGACTTCGAATTAGATTTGTATTGGTATTTGACATTGTATTGGAAATTGCGCACCAGTTTTTTTTTGTTGTGACCATCTAAGCTTGACCACATTTTTTGCATAAATCGAAATGTTTGCATATTTTCGTGGTTTAATCGTTTAATAAACAATTTAAATTTTATCACGAAATATTGAACACCTCACAAAGTAAATTAATTGCCACTAAATTATATAAATTATAATATTCTCGGGTATTTTAATTGGTACACAAAGAAAAAAAGAAACAAGTAAAAAAGTATCGGTCGGTTTTGCCGACAGATGTATACCCTCAACCAATGTTCGATTGTTTAAAAATATTTTGACTTCTGTTATGATTATTCAAATATTTAACCCCCTATACAGTAGGTTCCGAAGGAATGGGCCAATATTGGTCATTTCGTATCGGACCTAAATAAATATGATATAAATGTTGCGACGGGCTAGGTTTAAACTGTGTTGTGTTAATGGAAATATTGGGATGTACCAAGTTTTGAATTTTATGAGCTTCATGGATATTCAAAATTTTGAGCCTTTGTGGGGGTGGTACCAGAAGGAGTGGACCGATATATCCCATCTTCACAACGGATCTTTTGTTAGTGGAAATAATGGAATATGTGAAATATAAAAATAACCTAAGGCTTATTTCGGATTTTATAAACGTTTTGGTTATTTAACACTTTGACCATTTGTGGGGGAGGTACCAGAAGCAATGGTCCGATCTCTACCATTTTTTTAACATATCCTATGTTGATAGAAATATTCAGATTTGCCAAGTCCAAATGGAATCCGATGTTAATTTCGCGTTTTATGAGCTTAATGGATATTTAAAATTTCGACCTTTTGTGGTGGAGGTACCAGAAGGAGTGGACCGATATATTCCATCGTAACATCAGATCTTGGGTTTATTAAATCTCACATTTTATGAGAGTTGTAATTATTCAAAATTTTGACCATTTGTGGGGGAGGTGCTTGGTGGTGTTAACCGATATTGTCCATTTTCATCACTGACGCAAATATTAGGATATGCAAAGTAGGAGCAAAATCGTATTATCCGTTCTCTTTCTGTGCAAAAAAATGTATTTTTTGAAAATTTCTACCTTTTGTAGGGCAGGTACCAGAAGGAGTGGACATATATTATCCATCTTAAGACCAGACCTTGGGTTAATACAAGTATCGGTATGTGTGAAATTTGAAGACAACCCGACTATTACATCACATTTTTTAAGAGTTGTAATTATTTAAAATGTTGACCATTTGTGAGGGAGGTACTTGATAGAGTGGACCGATATTATCCATTTTCACACCTGATCTAGCACTGACGCAAATATTAGAATTTGCAAAATTGGAGTAAAATCGGATTGTCCACTCTCTTTCTGTGCAAAAAATATATTTTTTGAAAATTTCGACCTTTTGTGGGGGAGATATCAGAAGGAGTGTTCCGATGTTGCCAATCTCCGAACTCGATCCAAGTTATATAATAATATTAGGATATACAAGTTTGGACCAAAATGGGTACTCCCTTCGAGAGTTATCGTGCGCATCAGCCAGCCAGACAGAGAGACGGACGGACATCGCTAGATCGATTCCAAATGTCCTGGAACGGATTTGGTCTAAAGAGGCCTAGGGTCTAAAACCGTTATTTCGTTTCGGCCGTATCAAATGATATATATACCCTCTCTAGCATTATTTGATGTTTTCAGTAGAAACAACTTTGGACATATCCAGAGGAGAAAATCCCCAGCCCCGGCTAAGGTCGACTGTATAAAAAATGATTGAAATCTAGAAATCTTCTGTTCGATGTATTGAACATAATATGGTTTTACGTGTTCAATGACCCATATCTCTGGATCCAGGACAAATAATAGCACAAATTGTAGCATTTTGGAAAGGCTATGGGTTTAACTATGATTTGGTATATATTTTATGAATAATGGACAATAATGGACCCTTTTTCGACTTTTTTGGGATTTTATTTTAATTGAGTCCAAAAATCGATAGCTTTGACATAACTCCCAAATCGTTTTAAACATGGGACCACTTTTTAGATAAGAATTTTCATTAGAATGATGCCTATACCCGTGTCTAACCCGAATTTTGGACCCGGACTTCGGGGTAAAATATCAGGGTATTCAGGGAACTATAATTTGGCAAAGAGTCAACTATAATTTTCGTGAATTCCCATAATGGGCCCTTTTTCGACTTTTTGGGTTTTTTTTTTTTAATTGAGTCCAAAAAATCGATAATTTTGACATAACTCCCGAACACTTTTAAGTAATTCCATGTGAATAGGTTTTCGCATTAGCTTTCATTGATTTCTATATTTCCAAATTGGTTTTGAAAATCCGGGTCTAGCCCGGGTCCTTGGGCCGGGCCTGATACAAATATCAAGTCCAAAAATTGATAACTCCTAAATCGTTTTAAATAATCACCACAATGTGACCACTTGTTAGATGAGAATTTTCATTAGAATGATGCCTATACCCGTTTCTATCTCGGGTTTTGAACCCAGGCTTTAGGTATTCAAGGATTATAGTACAACTACCTAACATGTGATTTTTTTTTAAATTCGAAAGCTTTTACAAAGTTAGAGTTCTTCCTGGTCTTTTTGACCGTAAATGACCATAATTTAAATTTTCAGAATTCTAGCTCTTATCAATCTCTCTAACACCATTTTGCACTATTTGTTACTTTTTAGCACTTTTCCCCCTAATGTACGACTTTAAAGAAAATATCGCTTTAACTTTCGCCTCTAAACTTTCTGTGACGTAAAAACCCAATTTCCGAGATTTTAGTTTAAGCCCCTTCTTCTGGTCGTTTGAAAAGTAAGACTTTTTATGGGGAGGAGGAAGTAGCAGAAGAAGCTACATATATATCCCATATATTCGCAGGGAGAGGGTCGATACGATCCATCTTCGAACTCAACGTAGGAAATATTACCAATATTTTGGGGGACAAACTGAATATTTTGTTGAGGATCTCGACCCTAAAACTGTTTGTTGGCGTCTACGTCTACATTGTCTTACCTATTTTGACGTGGTAGATGAACTATTTTTTCTTGGCCTTCCTGCATCCAAATAAGAGCCTGTTTCCCAATTTAATTTGCCATCTAGGCCTGGAGATTCTAAGGTCGATCCAAAATTTTTTATTTCGTAAGATCTCTTTTAGTTTCCGCTTAATTTCTCTCGGTGTACATTCTACAAACAAGTTCAGCCCAACAATTCGTTTGCGTTTGCTTTAGAACAACTTACAGATGTTTTTCACTTATCCAGCCGACTATGGCTGCATTGTTGTTGTTTTTTGAATAAATTATACGCCAACTATTAACCGGTTTCGTTGTAACTTTTGTAAGAGAGTTGCAGATTTTTCGGTCACTGCTCTGCTGCTGCCGTTCTTGTGGATGCCTTGCATCAATGAAAGAAAAAGAGAGTGAGCAGAGCAGCGCTGAGTGGAGACATAATGATGGGCATAACAACATAGTTCGGTTTCTGTTTTTGGATGAGGATGAGACGACGACTGCGACAAATGGCAATATTTCATTTAATTTGTAGTAAACAACATGAATTGTTCTCCACGCGTTTGCAAGCAAAAGGTGTTTTAGGTTTTCATTGAAATGCCAACAAACATAAGTTTGAAAACTATTTTTAAAATGATTACTTTATTAAATATTTTTGTTGTTTGTTTTGTTTTTTTCTATTTCTCTTAGCATGAAAATTTGGCCAAACTCGCCGGTACATATTCCAAAATATGATGGCATGTTGCCCTATGCCAATGCTTCGCCCAATGCCAGCGCTAGTCCCATAGCCATTAACAGTGTCTCGTCGACCAATTCGCCAAGTTTAAAGATTATGGATACCAATATGGTGACAGCCCCCTCGGCGGTTATGGGCAACGATATTGATGAATATGTAAGTAGCATTGTTGGAGGAGTGGAGTTGATTCCAGATCCACAGAGTAATAAAAAAATATATTTCCTTTTTAGAATTCCATTACCATAATGCCGGACTCCACACCAGTCCAGGTTACCCAGTGGCTAACCTATCATCGCCTAACAGCATATCTATCGACATTTGCCCAGTTCTCGGGTGCTGATATTATGAGGTGAGTATCAAACGTTTGATGAGATATTTTGAAATTTGTGAAAATCCAAAGCTATAAAAATTTTTTTTTTTTAAAAATTCACAGCAGTAGTGGATCTATAAAAATATTTTTTTTTTTTGGTGGAACTATAAAAAAAATATTTAAAAAATCCACGTCTTTGGCGAAACGTTAATTTTTTTCAAAAACTACGACTTTAACGGGACTTGAATTTTTTTCATGGAAAATTTTACAACTTAAAAATATCTTTGAAAAATCCATTAATTTTTTTGGGGCATCAAAAAAATCTATGTCTTCTGCGGGACTTTAAAACATATTTTTAAAAAATATCAGGACTATGATTTGAATGGAGAAAACATTATTTAAAAATCCACAACTCTGTTGGGGACAAAGAAAACATTGAAAAATTCACGAATCGGTTGGGGATGGAGAAAATATATATATTTTTTTAAATACACGATTCCTTTGGATTTTTAAAAAACCACGATTTCTGTGGATTTTCAAAAAAGTGTTTTAAAAAATCCACGTTTCTTGTGGATAACAAAAAAATGTTTTTAAAAGTCCACAATTTGTTTGGATTTTCAAAAAGTGTTTAAAATGTTTTTTAAATCCACGTTTCCATTGGATTTTCAAAAAATGTTTTTTAAAATCCACGATTTTTTTGGATATTCAAAAAAAATGTTTTAAAAAATCCAGGATTTCATTGGATTTTCAAAAAAATGTTTTAAAAAATCTACGATTCTTTTGGATTAAAAAAAGTTTTTTTTTTTAAATGCACGATTTATTTAGATTTTTAAGAAGTGTTTTTAAAAATTCACGATTTGTTTGGATTTTCAAAAAATGTTTTAAAATGTTTTTAAAAATCCGCTATTTTTTTGGATTTTTAAAAAATGTTTTTAGGAATCCAATTTCTTTCAATTTTCAAAAGGTGTTCTTAAAAATCCACGATTTATTTTATTTTAAAAAATCCACTATTCTTGTGGGTTAATAAAATGTTTTAAAAAGTCCACGATTTGTTTGGATTTTCAAAAAGTGTTTAAAATGTTTTTTCAATCCACGTTTCCATTGGATTTCCAAAAAATGTTTTTTAAAATCCACGATTTTTTTTTGGATATTCAAAAAAATATTTTAAAAAATCCAGGATTTCATTGGATTTTCAAAAAAAATGTTTTAAAAAATCCAGGATTTCATTGGATTTTCAAAAAAAAAAAATGTTTTAAAAAATCCACGATTCTTTTGGATTAAAAAATGTTTTTTTAAAAATGCACGATTTATGTAGATTTTTAAGAAGTGTTTTTAAAAATTCACGATTTGTTTGGATTTTCAAAAAATGTTTTAAAATGTTTTTAAAAATCCGCGATTTCTTTGGATTTTTAAAAAATGTTTTTAGGGATCCACGATTTCTTTCAATTTTCAAAAAGTGTTCTTAAAAATCCACGATTTATTTGGATTTTCAAAAAAATGTTTTAAAAATTTTTCAAAAACTATTTTTAAAAATCCACAATTGCATTGGATATTTACAAATGTTTTTTAAAATCCACGGTTTTTTTGGATATTCAATAATGGTTTTTTAAAATTCACCATTCTTTTGGATTTTCAAAAAAATGTTTTTGAAAATTCACGATATCTTTGGATTTTCAAAAATGTTTTAATAAAATTCACGATTTCTTTGAATTTTCAAAAAAATGTTTTCAAAAATCCACGATTTCTTAGGAATTTCAAAAAAATGTTTTTAAAAATCCATGATATCTTTGGATTTTCAAAAAATGTTCTAAAAATTCTCAATTTCTTTGGATTTTCAAAAAATGTTTTAACAAAATCCACGATATCTTTGGAATTTAAAAAAATGTTTTTTAAAATGCAGGGATCTTACCATTAGATTTCCAAAATGTTTTTTTTTAAATCCACCATTTTGTTTTTGGACTTTCAAAAAGCGTTTTTAAAAATCCACGATTTCTATAAATTTTCAAAAAAAAAATGTTTTTAAAAATCCACTCATTTTTTTAATTTTCAAAAAATGTTCTAAAATTTCTCAATTTCTCTGGATTTTTAATTTGAAAATTAGTAAAAAATCTACGACTTTGGTGCGACTTAAAAATACTTTTAAAAAATGACAGACTGTTGTTAGACTTAACCACGATTGTTTTGGGACGTTGAAAAATATTTTTTTATTCCCCGGCTCTAGTGATACTTTCAAAAATATGAAAAAAAGAACCAAGAATCTAATAATATATTTGTAAAAATCCTAGACTTCGGCGTAACTTTAAAAATATTTTTATTTTTATATACGTGCTTTTCTTCTTTTTTGCTTTTTATGTGCTTAATTTTTCTCTTTTCCTTTTCTTCTCTTCCAGAATGTCCAAGGAGGATCTAATTCAAATTTGCGGTCTGGCCGATGGCATACGCATGTTTAATATTTTGAGAGCAAAGTGAGTTGGCAAAACAAATACAAATGCCATCACATAATTAATAATACAATAATTCCTCCCCATTTCCTCCTCTCTCTCTTTCAGGGCCATAACACCCCGTCTGACCTTATATGTCAGCTTGGATGGCAGCAATTATAATGCAATTTATTTGATTTCCAATACGGCCAAGGAACTGTTGCAAAAGCTATTCAAATTACCTGGCTTCTATGAGTGTGTGGCCAAAAGTTCTTCAACCTCTATGAATGGCAGTGGAGGTGGTGGTGGTGGCGGCGGCATGGATAATTCCTCACCCTACCACAGCTGGGGCATGCATTCGAAATATTCGGGCAGCGGTTCAAGCATTTACAATGACGTCAATACTAAGAGTTTAATTTACATTAGTGGCCCATCCGGCATCCATGTGGCCATCACCGATGAGGTACTGGCCAATGAAATCAAAGATGGTAGTCTCTATGGTTTGGAAGTACAAAATGGAAAAGTTGTTATGAAATTAGTGAACAAAAATGAAAATTAAGAAAAAAAAGAAAATAACAAAAATTTTTTTTTTTTTTAAAAATATTATTATTATTATTTTTTATATATGTATGTATGTTTAATAAAAATGTTATTAAATATACACAGACACAAACAACGAAAACAATATGTAGATGACAATTTTTGGAAGGTTATTTTTTTTTTAGTTAAAGGGAAAAGGAAGTTTGTAATGTCCTGAAGGGAATGAAAAAGGAAGTGACATTATAATCGTGGGTAATTAATGGAAAATCAAATACCAAAATTATCACAGATTATAAATTAACCTTATGAATTCAAACTTTTTGTAAAATTTAATTTTCACCCAAAATGGAATCAAAAAAAAAAAAAAAAAAAAAACTAACATCCTTTTGTGTCTTCTGCCAATTTGCCGGGCATGAAGAAATTCAAGTTAAAAAAACCCGAAAGACCGTACCAATTGCATTAAGGTTTCCAGTTGTTTGAATTATCCACCTTCAATATTCAACTGAATAATTATTTAACATATCGAGTTCACATTAGATTCTATTCTGAAAAACATGATTTAATATATGGGGTTCCTGTGAATATTTAACCGCCTTGAGAAAAAATAATGGATATTGGTTCATGTTTTGCTGTAGCCCCCATATTATTTATCCCAACAGGAAACCTATGTAATTTCGAAACCTAGATTTTGTATTATTATATTCTATTCGTATCAGGTTGCTACCCTTCAGAACTACATATTTGGAAGCCGTTCTTCATTTTGTTGGGCTACAGTTAAATCAATATAACTTCATTTCAAATAATTATAATATATATAGGGATATTTGGGAAAGAGAGAAATCCGAATATTATACTCACTCTGGTTCATATGACTTTTTCATTCTTAAAATTATTACCAGCGGAAAATTAATTCAATTCAATTCAACTAATTCGTATTTTATTGATTTGTTCTATTTTGAGAAAATTCTTTAAATTTCCTAAGACAGACTGCCATATCTTGTGCACCTTTGCCGGTTAATTTTTTTTCCAGATGTCGATTTCCTTGTTTGAGAGTCTCAAATCGTTCGTCTCTGGATTCAGTGGGGAAATGTAAGTCTATCAATTTTAACATCATTATTTTTGTCGACTTCTCATTTTTTTTAGTTTTAATTCTATATTTTCATACCCTGCACCACAAGGTGGACAGGGTACTATGTCTTTGTGCATTTGTTTGTAACAGGCAAAAGGAAACGAGATAGACCCATAGTTCCTTTTGATGATCTGCATAGAATCACGTTCTGTGTTGATTTATGCATGTCCGTCCGTCCGTCTGTCCATGTATTTTTGTGAACAAAGTACAGTTCGCATTTATTACCCGATCCAGATGAAATTTGGCACACAATTAGGCCTGAAAATGAGTATGCCAAATTTGATCGAAATCGGTCCAGATATAGCAATAGCTCCCATATATATTATTCATCCGATTTATTATTTTTGTCCTCCGCAGCGTCAAATACATCAAATACAGCTCAGAAATACCTTTGCTAAATTTAATGGAGATCGGTTCGGATTTGAATATATCTCCCATATATAACTTCGTCCGATTTACTTTTTATTGTGCACCAAACGTCTAATATTTGCCCAAATTGGATGAAATTTGGCACTTACGACCGGATTGGGTCTAGAAGCTAGTATGTTATATTTGGTGAAGATCGGTTCAGATATAGCTATAGCTCCCCTATATATTGTTCATCCGATTTGTTATATTTGTTACCCACAGCCGTAATATGCACTCCGTAACAACGATATTCAGGGAAATATATGAAATACAGCTCAGAAATATTTTTGCCAAATTTTATCGAGATCGGTTCCGATTTGGATATAGCTCCCATATATATCTTTATCCGATTTCAAATTAATTGTGCACCAAATGGGCAATACAAGTCCGAATTTAAAAGATATAAATGCTTCGGCATATTTAGTCTTTTGAACTTTAAATTATAATTATAATCATAGCGTGCAGGATTGTATTCTCCCATAAAAATTTTGTAATTGTTATGTGGAGCTCTACTAGCATTAGCAAAGTGGTGTTAGGTATCATAAAGTCGAACCCGTCCGACTTTAAGACTTTCTTTACTGGTTATATAATGCCCATAGTCAAAAATTGCACCTTAAAAAAACTAAACTCAAAATAGAAATCGTTGACTCTGGTTTAAAAGTCATATTAATATTAATTTATACTGTATTGTAAAGCGTTTCTTTTTAGATAAAAATTCTGGGGAAGGCTTAAAAGTATGCCATAACAATGCTATAGATAATTTAGAAAAAAACACACTTTACATATGACTCTAACGTCATGTGTAATCTAGCCTTTTAAAACGTAATGCTTGCATTATCAACTTGTGAAACAAAATTGTCACGCTCTTAACATGGTGATAAAATACAAAAAAAAAAAAACATAAATAATAAATATTGTTTTCAAAATGAATACTCTCTTAAATAAATATTGTTAAAACTACATGTCTTGTTTGTGTCTGTGTTATATGTTCGAATTCACATTTTAATTATTAATTTTATTATTTTTCTTCAGATGAGTGCATAATTATTTTATACAGATTTATTTTCTTTCTTTGATAATTATAATGAATATTAAATAAGATTTATACACACACACATTTTGTACATTTATAAAAATTTTATTTTTTTATTAATCTACCATTTTCTAGTTGATGAGATGAAAAAAAAAAAACATAAAAACAAAGTCAGGCCCTCAAAAAACAACAACACCTTTGAAAATGTTTACTAACAACCAACTCTGTAATCGTTATTTAAACGTCGATATATATTTTTAGTGTTATTTTGTTTTTAAAGATATTTTAGTTTTTATTATTGTGAATAGTTGTTAGTATTTTATAAGTTACCAAATAATGCTCTAGATTAAAAAGACGTTTTAGTAAAAACTTTTTTATTGCGTTATAAAATAAAAAACAACAGAGTGAATGAGGAGTGGTCTGCTGAATATATTTTGTGTTATTTTTTATACCCTAAAACACTATGTGTTGGGAATATTATAAGTTTGATTGGGCCAAAAATTATGTAACACCTCGAAATATTGGTTTCCCAAATAGGAAAGTATATATGAATCTTCCTATCTCGCCGAGTTGAGTCAATCTAGCAATCAGCCGTATGTCCATGTTAATTTGTAATCAAGCTACAGGTCCCAATTATGGGCTGATTCTCACGAAATTGAAAATGGAGGTGTGGTTAGGGTCAGAATAGAACCCTATTGTTTTTGGAGATGATGGCAAAATATTTAGGGGTTAAAGTGGAGTAAAAACCGAAAAAATCTTGATTTTTCTGTTGCTTTACAGGCCACTAATATAGATCGATCGATTTTGCATGGAGTTGAAGTTTAGGACTGGGCAGAAAAGCGTACCAATTTGGATGGTCATTGGACCTTATTTAGCGGTTAAAACAGAACATAACTTTTATGTAAAAATACGACAATTTCCACTAAACCGGGAATATTTTTAATCCTGGCGAAATCACAAATACACGAAAATCTCCCTCTGATCGTTACATTGATTCTCACATCCAAGATATCGCATATATTGCAAAATATAAACAATATTATGTATCAAAGAAGGGGATGTCAGTTAGACCGCTTATAAGTCAAGAACCGCTGGACTGATTGTCCCAATTCTCATCTATTCGGAATGGTGTCTTGCCATAAAGGGATAAAATCTACAAGAATCACTTAAAATTATGCCAATAAAAATGTGAATATTTTTTGTTGCATTTTATATAAATAAATAAAGGGCTACTGTTATGGAGATGTAAATTTAGGGGTTCAAATGAAAAAAAAAAAAACATTTTCCTGATTTTGCAGCCGCTTTTCATGAGGAGAGGGTTAGGGACTGGAAAGATGTCTAGAACTTGGATGACCATTGAGTTATATTTAGTTGTAAATGGACCACCACTTTTGTGATTTTTTTCGAATACATAAAAACGAAAATTTCAAAATGAATTTAGGCATAAGGGGGCTTCCAACATATTGTAGTTGTTATAGAGTATCACATGGTCGGCCCGGTTTTAAGATTTCATGGAGGGTACATCAATTTATTCAGTTTGTAACTCATCAATGTAACCATTTTAGATTTCTTCTAAGGCGTTATAGCCCCTAAGTTTGATTTTCGTTAGAATTCAAACGACTTATAATAGAGTAAAACAACGAAAGTTTTAAACAGAACAGTCTTTTGTCTGCATGAAGCTCAAGTTCGAAGATGGTCCACCATATCGTATATTGGGCACACGATATCGTATATTGGACACAAATTTGATTTTCTTCGCTTTTTATACCCTAAACCACTCAGCGGAAATGGTACTATGTCTTTGTGCATTTTATTTTTGTAACATGAAGAAGGAAGCGAGATAGACCTATAGTTATTTTTGAGGATCTTCATAGAATCGTTTTCTGAGCCGATTTATGCATGTCAGTCCATCTGTCTCTCCATGTATTTTTGTGAACAAAATAGAGGTCGCACTTATTATCTAATTGAGATAAAATATTCCATTCCAGGAGAGCAATATTGAAATTGGTGACAATCCGTTCAAATTCAGATATAGCTCCCATATATATCTTCAACCGATTTTGGGTTAATTGTGCACCAAATGACTAATATGAACCCAAGTGACCTTGACCTTCAATTTTGGCACACCCGATCAAATTCAGTCTAGAAGCAAGTTCTTCAAGTTTGCTGGAAATCGGTTCAGATATAGCTTTAGCTCCCATATATAAAGGGTGAGATAAAAAAACTGCAACAAAGTTAAACGCCATAATTTTTACACCTTTTTTTAAATTTTATTGAATGAAAGCAAAAAATGTCGAAAATAGCATCAAGGCACGAATTATGGCTTTCAAACGGTCAATGAAATCGTCACACACTGCCCAAATTTTGCTCTACAGTATTTTGGTCCATTCCCGGTGAAACGCTTGCTTGAGGTGATCGACACTTTGGTAATTTATAGTGCCAACCTTGCTTTCCAAAATACTTCAGACACAA